AACCCCCAGCCCAGATTCTTTCTTTTTTTTTTTTTTTTGGGTTTTTGAGACAGGGTCTCACTAGGTAGTTGAGAATGACCTGGAACTCACTATGTAGTCCAGGCTGGGCTCGAACTCACAGTGATCCCCTCCTGCCTCAGCCTGCTGAGTGCTGAGATTACAGGCATGCGCCACCATGCACGGCTCCCAGATACTTACTTTTTAAATGTAACTTTCATATATTCATTTGCCTATCACAAAAAATATGCTGTTTCTAATTTAATAAGGCCTGTGCTTTACACACTGTAGGCTACTGTCTGATATACAAGTTGACTAAAAGTAAGATACAAAATATTTTAAAATTTAAATCAGAAGGCCTACTCAATTCTCTCATGCAAATGAATTTATATCTAAATGTGGCTATCTGCATTTCTACAATGAATTTATTCTAATTCCAAACATTTAAACATCAATAAAGCATTGAATGTAAATATGAAAATCTAACTTTGCAATCAGGAAAACTAGGCTAGTTTCAAAGCTTGGGTGGAGAGTATAGTTGTGTAATTATGTATCTCACATCTATCATTTTACATTAGGAAAGAGTCTGAAGTCTCATTTAACACTTAGTTAGAAATGAATGCTTGATTTTAATATTAAAAACAGAGTTGCATTGATCCTTCATCTGTCTCAGATGCTATAATTGTAGGCTCAAAAGAATTGACCTTGCATATCCCAAACACAGAAATCATGGAACATATTGGCTGTGTTTTTAAACTGGAAGAAAAATTTTAATTTTAGAAATGAAAATCAGAATTTCATACCTTGTGCAAGCATGTTAAATTCCAAGAACAGTGCTATGTGGTAAAGTTCCATGGCTTCTTCTGCCCTGGTAATGTTTGGCTTCCCTGCAACGAGAGCCTGAACTTCACTGAGACTTCCCACAGAAGGGCTACAGTGTAAAACGGAGAGGTCTACCACGTCGGTATACATACAGTGTAGTATCACCTTTGCATATTTTTTTGGTATAATGGACTCATCTAATATAATTCTTGTGGGAGTCCTCAAAGTTCGGTCTGTGATTTCTTCACCAGTCCGTATCCTCCTTTGTAATAAATTTCGAAAAAATGGAGACCGTGCAGAAATAATAGCCTTGTGGGCTTTCAGCTCTTCATCTAAACAGTTCTGATTTCCCCCAAAAGCTTCAACCAGTTCAGAATCTGAAGAAAAACTAAGGACGACATCATAGTAACACATGTAATCAAAGAGTCCACGCATATCTACATCAAGGGAGTTTGGTGTTCCAAATTCTTCACTAAGTTGAACAAGGATGTCAACATTTTGAAACCTTGAGTCCTCCATTCCAAACTCTCCTGTATAAAGGTAGTGTAACAAAGCAGAAAACATGGGCATATCAATACCAGCTGTATTGATGTCCATTATTATCTCTGCCCCATACTCAGGCGAGGAAGCAAGCAATGTTTTAAAAAATGGACACCTTGCTGCCAAAATGGCACGATGAACAGGAAAACAAGTTTCTTGAAATATTAAGTCTACATCAGTACAATACTTATACTCATAAAGGTCAGCCATATCTTTCTGCAATGTCCGGGCTTCTGGTCTAGCCAAACTGGCTTGTAGAGAAAGCTCCTTTAAAGCTGAAGTTCCCTCATATTCCTCCACTAACGCATTGACATCTCTGACATCCCATCCAGAGAGGAGTTCTCGCATCTGCTTGGCATGATCGGCAGACCTATTAGATTTTCGACGCTTAATAAATTTCTTTTTGAGGGTAGCAAGGCCAGAGGTTCTCTTTTTTTTGTCTTGTGGTTTCTCATGGCCATGGTCAAGACTATACAATTTTGATTCACAACCATAGCCTTGCTGAGAATAGGATGATGTCCCTAAAAAGAAAATTAAACAAATGAAAATTTGTTTTTCCTTAAAATTCATTTTTAACATTAACATTTTTCATGGTACAACTCCTATTAAAGGACAATCTTGGCCACTCAAACAAACTGACTTTTGTTTTTATGAAGGAACATAAGAATTTCAAAAAACATTTTAAAACAAGAAGTAGAAACAATCATAGCAAATTAATCTGGATTTTTAAAAATACCTTTCATACCCTGACAATGAAAGACTGAGAACATAATTTTTTCTTTTTTTCTTAACTACTGGGGATCAAACTCAGGGGTGAGCTGTCACTGAGCTACATCCCAGTCATTTTTTTGAGAAGGTCTTGCTAAAATTGCCCAGGCTGGCTGACTCAAATCTGCAAACTTCCTGCCTCAGCCTCCAAAGTAGCTGGGATTACAGGCAAGGACTACCATGCCAAGCTATCATAAATCTTAATCATAATTTTTAAGAAATGAAAGGTAAGCAGATTTATAAGTTAGGAATACTGTTAGTATATAATTGTGACCAACCATGCCAAGGCTGCGTTTGCAGGGGTAAAAATAAATGGTACAGGACACACAAATGGAGATAGCTAATTTGCTAGGTAATTAATTGGCAATTATGGTTAAGGCAACTAAAGAAAAGATCAATTGTGTTATAAGCACTTTATTTAAAAAAAAACTCATACAAGCCATACTTCCATTTGTGTGTGGAAGGGTGTAGGAGATACAGAATTATCTATAACTTCTTCATATTGCAATCCTTTTTACCCAGAGACCACTGAAAATAATTACTATAGTCACAAAAGAAAAAATGAAGTTAGAAAAACTGAAGTTACCTATAAAAGTTTGTTGGGCTTGTGAATTTCCCCCTACCCTCGGGGAACATGAATGAGGATAGTTAGATGCATTAGCACCCATTTTCTTCAGTCACTCAGGCATTCCATCTGCAGCTTCTTCAGAGTGTGATCCCAGAGACCTTTATGAACCTTCAACCCTGGATCCAGCAGCCTCTTTTCATCCATTTCTTGATATGAAACAAAAATAATTTTATTTTTTCAAATGTATCTGAAATCTTTTTTTTAAAAAAGCAAGCTACTGAAAACCATTTGTATTTGCAAATACTATAATGATATGTTGTCAATTTCCTAAGTAAAACTTCCAAAATTATAAAATCTTTAATCTTGCATTATGAATCTGTTAGCTGCAATTTTGAGTCATAAAATATATCAATTATATATTTTCTAAGACAGTAAAAAGAAACATATCCCTCAAATTTAAACATGGGAGGAATACTTCAAAGTAGAGGGAAAGGTATTTAGACTAAAAAAAAAGTTTCAATGAAAAAATCCTACAACCACTAGTCATTAAATGTTCGAAGCAACTTACAAACATTTAACACTTGGTACCAGTATTATATATACCAAGAACATATACATTTGTCTGGCAAGAAGGAGAGTGATTTAAGAAAAAAAAATTTAAAATCTATTATGAGAATTTTCAGGAAATCAAGCAGAAGGCAGCTTAACCTAGCCTTAAAATGAAGGGTGACGTGTTTTAACAAACAAAAGGTAGAAACGCACACACAATCACGAGAAACCCACTGGAAAATAAAATCACTGATTTTCATCTCCATTGCTAATACAAATATAACTTTAGGGATTCACATTTAAGAAAAATCACTACTAACATTTATGCCTTCACATAGGTGTGTAAGTAAATATATCTATGTGGAAATTTATTTACCTAAGCATATAAACATTACAGCAGTAAGGATAAGACTGGAAAACTTTTCTACTAAGTAGATACTATATAAGTACTGAAGTATGTAAAGTAATAATACTTCAATGTTATATACCTATATAAGCAAATTTTCTACTAAAACTCACCTACTTGCCCATGAGAACAAAAAACCTTTAAATTTTATTTTAGTATAGACTGTTGGAAGTTTGAACAGATATGAGCAGTAAGAGAAACATGAAAGGGCATTCAGTAAGAACTACATAGCAAAGAAGCTACCGGGTTTAATACGCTATTTTGTGAATGTTCAAAACAAAACAAAAGCATAGCACTCTGGAGATGGAGGCAAGAGGAATGCTATGAATTCAAGACCAACCTAGACTACGTCATGAGTTCAAAGCCAATCCAAACTACATAGTGAGACCCTGTCTCAAACCAACCAACCAAAACCAAACCAAACCTAGGGATGGAGATGAAGCTCAGTGGTGAGACCCTTGGGTCCATAGTAAGGTGTGTGTGGGTGGGTGGGGGGGATGAATGTCATTTGTATCTAGGAGTAATGGTGGATGTGAAGAGTATTGATCAAGTGTTTTTAAAGATACAACTGCTTGCACTGCTATTATGGTAGGCTTCTCACTTTCTTTACTCATTCTTAAAACTTCTGTATTGCTTTATATTTGTTTTGCTTTTTAAATTTATTTTGATTGCAGTGCAGATTCACAAATACAAAGTATGCTGAAATACAACCATTCTGAAGAGAGGCTTGTTTTCAGATGAAGAAAAATCAGGAGGGTCCACGAAGAATCACCACTCTCACTTCAGCACACATGTGCATGCACACATGAGAAATATTTTCAACTGAGAACTTTACATGGTTCGAAAGGCCACAATATACCATACACTGGCCTTTTTGAGGGTTAAATCACCTCAATCACCTCAAAAAGTTCTTTTTCCGTCCCCCTGGTTCCCACCCCTCCTCCCTGGGAAAGCCCCTAAGCTGTAGGAGGCCGAGGAGGGAGCCAGAGAGGGAGGGTCCGCCCAGGGTCTCCCCACCCCCACGAGGCCAGGGCCTTCCCTGATACTTATTTGGAGGAGGAGTCCTTTGTGCAAAGAAACTCTACCATTGAACGTCTAAGGGAAGACTGTGTAATTAGCTAAAGTAGAAGCTGATACAAAGAAGAATAATATAAGATTAAAAGGAGTCCAAGAAAAAGCAGGAGAAAGCAAAAATAACATAAAAAAACTGTTTACAGAAGAGCAGAAACTTCCCAAACAGAGCAAAAGAATTTGACATATAGATAAGTGAGGCATTTAGGACTCCAACTAGTTATGATAAAAAAAAATACATCTACACACATAATAATAAAGATCCTGGAAACCCAAGAGAAATACAAAATACTACAAGCAGTTAGAGAAAAGACACAAATTACATATAAAGGAAAACCCATGAGAATCACAACAGTCTTTTCAACACAAACCCTCAAGTCAAGGAGAGCCTGGAGTGAGGTATTTCAAGCTTTAAAATAAAACAACCTCCAACCTAGGCTGACATACCCTGCAAAACTATCTTTCAAAATTGATAAAAAAAATAAGATACTTTCGTGACAAAGAACACCTGAGAAACTTCATGAATACCAAACCAGCACTCCAAACAATTTTTTAAAAATATCTGAGAAAAATACAATGATTGTCACAACTTCATGAGGCCCAACGGAGCAAATCCAATAGGCAAGAATTTAAAGCGAGAGAGAAAAATAAAAAAGAACCAACAGGAAAATAACATCACAATGATAAGTCAATACATATTAGTTGTAACCAGCTGTTCCTCAGACAAAGGTCTACTACCTAGAATGTATTAAGAACTTAAACCATATTCAAAAATGGCATATGAAATGAACAGAAATTTCTCAGAAAAAAAAAAAGGAAAAGCAGCAAATAAACATATGAAAAAAATGTTCAACATCACTGGTCATTGAGAGATGAAGATTAAAACAACACTGAAATTCCATCGCATCCCAGAAAGAATGGCTGCTACCAAGAAATCAACCAATAACAAATGCTAGAAGGGTTGTGGGCAGATAGGAACCCTTCTTCACTGTTTGGTGGGAGTGCTGACTGGCACAACTACTGTGGAAATCAATATGGAGACACCTCAATTAGGATTAGAAGTCCTATTTGATCCAGCTATTTCTCTGCTGGGTATCTTCCCAAAAGAATTAAAATAATCATACCAGAGCACACCCAGAGTTCAACGCCCATGTTTATAGCAGCACAATTTGTAATAGCTAAAACTTGGAGACAGCCTAATTACCCATCAACTGGAGACTACAGATGTGTTTTTGTTTTATAAAATGGAGTACTACTCAGCCATAAAGAATGAGAAACTAGAGATATTTATAGCTAAGTGGATGCACATTGAGGCCATACTCTTAAATGAAATTAATAAAACACACGTGTAAATACCGAATAGCTCCTCTGGTGTGAAAAGCTAAAAGAGTAAATAAGGACCAAGATGTATAATTGATATTGTGTAACAGGAAGAAAAGGTCTAAAAGAGTAGAGGAAGTGTGAGGGGTAAGGGAAAGGTAAAAAGGGAAAAGAAAAAATATGTAAAAAGGAAAAACATGGAAAGAACATCTTTGTAAACAGGGAAGGGTGGAGGGGGTGAAGGGAGGCTGGGGAATAGGGAAAAATAAGAACCAAGATAAGTCTTGTAAAGGTACAAAATCCCAATGATGAATGTAACTATTGTATACCTAAATTGTACCAATTTACTTGATAAAAAGAAAAGAAAGTTCTACTTTAGGATTGATAGAACTTTTGTAAACAATCTAAAAACCTACAAAATGTTAGGAAAATGTAAAATGACTTATGCTGTCTCTAACAGCAATCTGCTTTGTTTAGTTCAAAATTAACAGACACCAGAGGCATTGACTGTGAAACGGGACATCTGGCCTCATCCCTAACCTTGAACACCCGCTTCCTGTGTACTAGAATAGATAGCTAAAGGAATCTTGAGGTAAACTCCCCAACTGCAAAGAACTGTTATGTCTGGATTAAAATAAAATCAGACCCCCCAAATATAAAAACTGTCTGGTTACTGTAATTTGTACATGGGTAATGTGAACTGAGGAAATGAAATGCAACCACCTGAGTGAGATCATAGCTGTAAAACCTACAAAAGAGGAAACTGCAACCCAATAGGAGGTTGATGACTGGCACTGGTTTTTTGAATGCAATCTCGACCCTTTGCTGGGAAAATAAACTTTTTATTATTTTTACTTCCATTCAACTTTTTTTGTTTGTTTTTTTGAGATAGGGTCTCACTATGTAGTTGAGACTGACCTGGAACTCACTATGTAGCCCAGGCTGGTCTTGAACTCACAGTGATCCTCCTGCCTCAGTCTCCTGAGCGAGTGCTGGGATTACAGGCGTGTGACACCATGCCTGGCTTCCATTCAGCTTATCCTTATGTGTGGTCCTTTGTTAATTCCTTCTGCAACAGGATAAACATAATTAGATACTCTAAAGCTAATACACAAGTATTATAAAGAATCAGTACCGCAGGAGAAACATGAGCACGCAGCAAGAACTAGAAAAGGCACAGGATGAGCTACAGATACTCGGCTATTCCCCACTACAATGAGTAGTACTATAGGAACAGATGGGGTTTCACCCTGGAGATGTGTCTTCAAATAAAAGAAACTTTGGAATTTAGGAACAGTCTCTTCTTGGTAGCTACTCATTGACAGGGACCCTCTTCAGAATGAACTAACTTGGGTGACATATCTCCTAGAAGATTTTGAATACAAAAATAAATAGGCTGTAGAAAGAAATGAGGGCAGGGTAGAGGGGTTCTGGATCAGATATAACTCTTATTCTAGTACAAAGTCATATTCTTCAAAATTCTCAGGGAACGATACTGTTACTTCTCAGGTAACCAAAAATCTATCCCATATTGTGTACAGAATTGTTATTTCTTAATCTAATCTGCTGCCTTTAGATCTGGAAGTAAGAATCAATCACAGTCTAATCTCTCCAAAGATTGTTTTCTATCCAGGCAGGCCATCTCTGCCTTGTACAGATAAAAGAATGAAATCCAATCTTTGGAAAATGAGGCAGGAAAGGAAAGAAAAGAAGGGCCCTAGAGGCCCAGTGGATGGATGTAAATAGCCTCAGAAGGCTGCTGAAGCCTTTTTCTAGGATCACCATTCTGGGAAGCAAATTCTGTTATAGTCATTAACATGATCAACCCTAATCAGATGATATGATTTTCTTAAAATATGCCTCACTGATTGCAGCAGACCCAACCAAGGGGAAAAAACCATGCTGAACACAACAGAGAGAATGAACACCACTGAGAAATTCTTTGAAATTTTAAGCCAACATGTCGTCCTCATCCACTAAAACAAAATAAAACCTAGATCAGCATTTTCCAAAGTTTTCCCATTTGAAAAATGCAGCACTAAAGCCAGATAGGTTTTTCTTTTTTCATATTTTTTATTGGTACATTTTAGATATACAATATAGATAGTTACATTCATCATTGGGATCTTGTACCTTTACATGACGTCTTGGTTCTTATTTTCCCCCATTCCCCTAGCTCCCATCCCCACTCCATCCTTCCCTACTTACATTTTCCCTGTTTCCATTTTTTCCCTTTTCTCCTCTTTTACCTTTCCCCACCCCCTCCCATTTGCCCAACACCTTTAGACCTTTTCCTATTACAAAATTATCAATTATACATTTTGACCCTTATTTATACTTTTATCACACCAGAGAAACTATACAGTATTTACATGTGTGTCAAGAGTTATGTCCTCAATGTGCATCCACTTAGCTATAACTATCTCTAGTTTCTCATTCTTTATGGCTGAGTAGTACTCCATTTTATTAAAAAACCACATCTTTGTTATCCAGTCTCCAGTTGATGGGCAGTTGGGCTGTTTCCAAGTTTTATCTACTACAAACTGGGCTGCTAAAAACACAGGTGAGCATGCATCACTGTGGTATAATTCTTTTAATTCTTTTGGGAAGATATCCAGCAGGGGAATAGCTGGGTCAAACGGGACTTCCAATCCTAGTTGTTTAAGTCATCTCCATATTGATTTCCACAGTGGTTGCACCAGTGTGCACTCCCACCAAGGAAGAAGGGTTCCTTCCTCCCTGCACTCCCGACAGCTTTTGTTATTGGTTGATTTCTTGATAGCAGCCATTCTTTCTGGGGTGATGTGGAATCTCAGTGTTGTTTTCATTTGCATCCCTCAAAGCCAGATAGGTTTCTTCACCTCAAGATTTCTTAGCACTTTTAAACTGCTATGGTGCACTGTGAGTAAGTATGCAGCATGATCTAAAGGAGTCCTGATGGCCTACAGAACCCTAAAAGAATGAACTTAATATACTTTGGGGGGGGAAGCTGATCTTTGTCATAAAAACACTTTTTACTGCTTTACACAGTAGAAAACAGTGGGAATTAACATGTTCTTGCCAGCCTGAGCCACCAAGGGTATATGGATGACTGTCCTTTTGGGTGAGTAAAAAGCCCACAGAAGTGATTACATTCATTTGTACCACCAGTGGTACAAATTGTTCAATGGGACATTCATGCATGTATCACTGGTGGTTCACATGCCAACCAGTGAGACATGAGACCATGTCTCTTCCTCTCCTCTCCTTGCCTTGGCTCATGTAGCAAGAGGTTTTTGCTCGGCCATGGACTCCTATTATAATGTGCTGGAAGAAGAGATGGAAAGAAGATATAGTTAATGGGTACAAGGGGCAGGTGGACAGGAGGAAATACTTTCAATGTTCCACAGCATAACAGGATAACTATGGTTGACAACAATTAAATATTTTAAAATACTTGAGACTTTTATATATCAACACAAAGAAATGATGTATGTTCAAGGTGATAGATATGTCAATTACCCCGATTTGACCATTATACATTATAACCATATATTGAAAAGTCACACTGTAATATTGTATATATAATTACTATGTGTGAGTTAAAAATAAAAAATATATTTTAAAAATTGCTCCGGCTTATATTTACATGCTTAAATTTAACAAGGGTTACAGCCAGAATATCAATGTTATCATCAGCTTCTTACACAAAGACTAAAGAGGTGTATGCATATTATAATTAAAATGTGTTTGGTTATTGAATACTATAAACCAGCCATGCTTAAGCAATTTAAATGAATTAATGCCTTTAGTTTTCTTTTTTCTCTTCCCAACAATGTGAGGCACAGGTCTATTACTAACCCTGTGCTATACAAGGTGAGACTAGAAGGTTAGGAAAATGAGGAACAAAAGGCTTAGGCACTTACCCAAGTTCAGAGAGCAGGTAAGTTACAGAGGCAGGCCTGTCTTTCAGGTTCTTATAATATGGGTTATCTTATCTTTCCGTTTTTCTTAAGTTTTGAAGGGAAAATGTCCAGAGCAGAAAAACATAGTTGCATTCCAGAAATGAGAAGTGAGTACACTCCTGAGAGTGTTACTTTTGACACTTAAAATGATCTCACATAAAGCAAAAACAATTTAAACTGAAAGGATTTAACTAAAAATGCCTTTCTGAATATTTACAGCTAGACTATATGTTCTAATGGGGTAGTTGGGACCATAACAGTGCTGCCCCAGCAGCCAGTGCAGGCCTTGGTTCAGCAATCCCCAATAAAAGCCTGTGCCTCTTACCCCTAGCTATATTTCCCAAAACTGAAGGAGCTCTGGAAGGAGCATGAAATGTTGTACCCAAAAGCTATGAAAAAAGAGCCAAAAATGAGAAGGTGGAAAATGATTATGAAGTTCTGTCAGATCTGCATAATTTGTCCGGTCAACTATGTTATAAATAATGGTGTCATTTAGAATGTTTGTGTTTATGATAGAAAGATTAGCTTTGGGCTGCCAGACACACAACATTTGACTGAATAAATGAAATTACTTTCTAATCAGTGATAGTGCTTTTTACTGTTGGCCTAGCAATGCACAGAAAAGCAGGTCTAGATGATTTAAAGGTAATAAGAAATCTGAATCCATACTTGAGTTTACAAAGGATTTGAAGAGAAAAATAGAACTGACATTAGAGAACACATACAAAGCAAATGAATTTAAAAGAAAAATATACTTCTCATAAATTCCATTGAAAGTCAAGGGATTTTTCTGATACCAATTTAGCAAATATTAAAATAAGTGTGTACTTCTTGTCGATAAGTTACAGTGGGTTCCTCTGTTGAAACGGAAGAGATAAGAAAATATGCAGAGCAAATATGCTAGCAAGCTGGAGATTATGGCTGCACATAGAGAAAAGGGGAAAAAAGAAAACAAAAACATGAATACTCAAAGTGCCCTTATTCAGGGCAGCCTTCATTACGACAGTTCAAGTCTCAAACTGGGATCATCCAGGGAAGTTCTGTGAATGGTTCTATGAATTACTTAAGTCCTTATAAATGGAGACAATTCTGTAGTAAAACTCAAATTTTCTTCATGTCACTGAGACCAAGAGAGTCCACATAAAGATGAGGGAAACCCATTCAGTGAGAAGGAACTGCAAGCTTTATAAAATAGTTTAATAATGACCACTTCACTCTCATGAGCTTCTTCTTTTCATCAGAACATCTGTTATTTACACAATCTTTATTGGCCTATCAAATAAAAATGTGTTCTTCCTGAGATTTTTGTTTTCTTTTCTTTGGAGACAAGGTCTTGCTATGTAGTTTAGGTTGCATTTGAACTGAAGATGTAGTCCAAGCTTGCTTGAATTCATGGTGATACTCCTGCTTCAGCCTACTAAATGCTGAGATTAGTGCCACCATGCCTAACTTTCCAAATTTTTTCTGAATCTTCTGTATAGTGGTCTTGGTGAAAGCAGTACTGTACTGGTGGTTTTCATCAATGAACATGATTTGAAGAACTTTAGCTATGAAGTATCCTCTTGGAGAGCCAACATGGTCTTTTAGGAAAAATAAGTAACAGAAAACCAGACAAAATCCTTATCCTCACAAAAAACCATTATAATTTTTCCTCATCCCCCCTGCTTATCCTGTATTACATACTTGTAGCAGAAACACAGGGAGAGAATATTATAGTCCAAATATGTCAGACTAGAGCACACTATTGTGGATTGTTTATGCAATGGAAGTCTGTATCTTAAAACACTGTTTTCTATTTGTTTAGAACAACCACAACAAAAACATTAAGAGAATAGATATGAAGTCCTTATAGGACACATAATGAATTCTCACAAATTAATGGAGTGGAGAGAAAGAAGGAAAAGATGACAGAGGTCTTTACCTTGCATAACTGGCTGGTTATCAGTTCTTTGAACCATGAAACACGGGAGATAAAATCTGGGTGAGCTGGGGTGATA